TCTTAATGTTGATTTTATGTCATTTAATAATTATCTCTGTTCTAAGTCATTTTCTTAATTCCCATCATAGGTTTTTTTTACTTCTTTTACTTATCTGTTCATTTAATATTATTTTCTTGTTTTAGTCCATCAGATTTTACTCTTTTTTTTTAAACCATTTTTATTTTTATCTCCAGAGTTTCCCAGTGGTAGCTCTTTCCTCACGTAATGTCTCGGTGTCAGGCCATGTCTCTTTAAGAATATATCTTAAATTCTCACTGTGTGCGCTTGTGTGTGTATGTATGTGTGGGTCCATGGGTGGGTGGGAGGGTTGGGTTTTATTGTTGTTAACTGTTGTTTTTAGCCTCTGTGAGGCACTTTGAACTGCATTTGTTGTCTCAAAAGTGCCATAAAAATAAAATAAAAAATAAAGTTGAATTGTAATAATACATGTCTTTGTTCTTACTAAGGAGTAAAATATAGCATATTGTTCAGGTATCAATGTTCCACCTATAGTGTTGCAAGATTTTTAACCAAACTCTCCCCCTGTCCTGGTCACACCAGTGCCTGTTGGATAAAACTTAAGGGCCTTTCTCTGGGTTTTTTGTTTTAGGGCCTCTGAACACTGTATGCAATTTTGTCGCTTGCAGCCCTTTTTTTTACAAAACTGATACAGTTCAGCATTTCTCTATACTCAACTTCCTGAATGTAAAACAGCACTTGTGTCAGCTGTTCGGTCATCATGCTCACTTTTGAAACTCTTCTGCGCTTGTTGTCACCATGTCTCTAAATCAGACCTTAATGATAGAGCAGAATTTTGCGTATAAACTTTGACCGCAATAATGCCCATCAAATATATTTATATTTTCTGTGTAAAACTCTATAAAAAATGAATGAATAAAATCAAACATTTAAAACAGAGTTCATGGTCACTGCACAGAGGAGCAGAAAAGCCATGAAACTGACTGGTGACAGGAAGCAGTTGTGAGAAACATTTGAAGAGGCTATGAGATTTGCCAACATAAAAACATACTTTTATTGGACACAGGCTCATAAAGGAAGTCCAATTTTCTCAAACTAAGAAGAAAATTCGTTCTTGTATTTATCGTAAGATCCAACCCTCCAGCCCCCAACCCCTCAAAAGAAGTAAAATTAATCTACAGAAGACAGAAGACTTTGTGCTTTTTTTACTTTTTTAATGTAAAGACGGCTACGGAGTAACTGGAAATGTGGGGAGAGGATAACTGGTGAAGCCATGCCTCGGGGGGAGGGAGTCTAACCAGCAGCCGCTGCAACAAAGACAGTAGCCCCTAAATGAGGGGCACTTACTCTGCAGATTGAGCTGAAATGCTGCCCCCCTCACAAGATAATTCTGAAGATGATAGTATTGTCGATGAAAAGTTAGTCACTGCTGTGTGGTGATGCTTTTCTCTTCCCCTCCGCTTACATGCTTCTCTTGGGAAAAGCGTCATTTGAATTATTTCCAGTTTAACTTCGAAAACAAAAGCCAAAATCTGTGATTCTGCGATTTAACGATTAGCTCTTTAACAAGGACTAAATCCACAGAGAGGATGTCTCTACAACAGCTCCCATCTGCCTGAATGTCTGTTCTATTTCTCTCTGTCTTGTTATGGCCCCTTGTGCCCAACACACTTACACACTGACGTGAACATTTAAATCCATAGATGCACTTAAAAGCCTCAGAAATCTTCGAGGCAGAAACTATTTATACAAAAATACAGTATGATATCCACATTTTTTCAAATAAAAAATAAAACAGGTGAAGTGGAGTAGCTTTTAACGAACCGGTTGGCTTATTATTTTTATTTTTTCATGTGTATTTGTGACGAATTTCCAGCTAACACATTGTCTCATTTCTCAGATCTACCTTATCGATGATCTTGAAAATAACCAGAAACTCAGCTTCCCAGTCTCTCTCCTCCTATGCCCTCTTGTCTTTAGATTATTCAACATTAGACACATGAAGAACTCTGTTAATTAGTGCTGCCTGAGGCAAATTTGGCATATAACTAAGCCTTCCTATCAACTTTTTTGCGATTGCACTTCCTCAAAATCTGTATATACATCAGAATCAGGGCTCTTGCCATCATATTTTCTTGCAGCAACAGACAGGAAAACATTTGAATATGGTATAGAAAAATCCTGAGCTGAACAAGATTAGTCATGGACTGTATTCTTTAGGTTTGCAAGAACTTAATTTAACTGGGAAAATATACACCAGGACTGATTTAATTCCAGTTTTTTGAGTCCAAAATCAGTTCATGCTGAAAAATCGTGGTGGGCATTTTTTTGGAAACAGTTTAAGTTTTGTGAAAAGTTCAGCGCCACAGAGCCAATATCCTTCAGTAAACAGATCTAGAGACCACTCATGATACGACATTCTGGGCTCAGAGAATACTGTATGTAGGTATGACCTTAAAAAAACTCTACAAGTGCATCTTACATTTAATGTTTTTATTCATTAAAGCTTGACATTTTGAAGATAGACTGCAGGGATATGTTATAAAAACAAAGCATAAATCTGCTGTTTTCTTTCTCTGTTGTCAGCCGAATGATTCAGGAGTGTTTGACAGCAATTTCTCATGGACTGGCGCTGTTGGCATTCTTCAGAAAGCCCAGACTGACGCTTCACTTCCTCCTGTCTCATACAGCTGCTCCCTCCATGACATTTACATTTGTCTTTATTTGCCGTCTCCCTGCTTTGAGCATATTTTCTCCCTTCAATCCTTTAACTTCATACAGGCAGCCTTCACATTGGAAACATGCCGCAAAGATTATACATCCGTGCAAAGAGCACTACCATTAATTAGTGAGATTAGTTCATGTTTCTACCTGCAGCTAAATGTAAGTGTCCAAAGTGACACATGAAGGAAGTTTGCTGCGCTCCCTCCGAGAGGAAGCAAATCATCTCCAGAACAAGCATCACAGCTCATTTGTTACTTTAGTCACTCCCTCATCCTCATTCCCTCTCTCCCTTCCTCAGTCCATCTCTCACTCAACCTGATTGCTTATCTCCTAATTGCTTTTTTATAAGCGGATACAATGTGTGCGCGTGTGCACATTTGCTGCGTCTTTGAGCATGTGTGGAGCAACGTCTCAAAAACCTTTAGCTGCGACGTCCTCCAAATGTCTCATTACTCCCCTCATGGGCGTAATTGCTGCACTGAGCACGACTGCAGGAAGACCCCCAGGATGAATATAATTAAAAAGTATGAAATTACAAAATAAAAGCATCATTGTTATTCAGCGGAGAGAGTAGAAGAGGAAAGCTGAGGGTGCAGGATAACATCTAGGGAGATCTTCTCACTGTGCGAGATGAATCTGAAAACTGATCTAACGTCCTGGGTTTTTAAGTCAAAGAAGCTTTGAAAATTCTCTCATTTAGGTAAAATATTAAAATAATATTCAGGTCTTTCAAAGTCTTTGGTTACTGGTCATAACAAAACTTTTAAATTGAATCTGAAATCCTTTAAAGCTCCGGCGAGGAAATTTCATTTTGTGTAAATGTTGGCGCCCCCTGTGGAAAAAAAATACGTTTTTTTTATTTCTTGTTCAAAATATTTGTAAGAAGCCTTTTTTTGTTTGTTATTTATTTATTTATTTTTTTACTAAGAATCTCCTGCTGAACAGTCTTTGCGATAAAAAATCAAGTTGTTGTATGTTGAATCTCTGTTTTAACTGTACTTGCATGTACAGCAAAAACATACATTTTGGGAAATGCTGATGTCATGTGTTAGGCAGTTGTTGTATGAATATATGGCACATGTGCTAAGATGGAAATCTAAAACTATTCTACTGCGACAAATATGCCACATGATTTTTTTTTTTTTTTTGCCAATCTGACATTTTTTTTTCTACACAGTGAAGAACACTGTTGCAATTGCCATTTGCTGAAAAAGATGCTTGATATGCATGTGCACAATGTTCCCCCATGATGATTGAAAATTATCCCCACCCTCTGGCCTGGCACACACAAACATTTCTACATTGTCATATGGAAAACAAAATATTCTCAGACACCTCTAACCCAAAGTGTATCTATTTTTAAAGCACTCACTACATTTACTTCCCACTGGTTTAAGTGTTCATGTTTCTGTGAAGTTTTAACATGGTCTCATATATACGCTGATATACGGTTTATGTTCTGTGTAATAAATTCCTAAAGTCTGTAAGCTTTGCAGGCAGAGGCGGGATTTATGACCTATACTGCAGCCTGTCACCAGAGGGTGCTGTTCTCAGGGTGGCTTCACCCAGCAAGGAGGCAGACAACGTCCATTCTTTGTACAGTCAATGTGTACAATTGTTTGTATGTACAATCTTTTTCAATAGAACTTATTTGAAAAAAAACATCATGAGGTGTCATGGGGTATGACATCATCAGGTGACATCACGAGGTGCATTTTAACACATGAGGTGTTTGAGAGCAGCACAGTTTACTTTTGTATCCTGAGAGTGAGGACGATTTCGAAGAGCAGTTCACAACTTTAATAGTGACCGCAGAGATGAGCTTCAGTCTGAACAGAACTCCTATGGTAAGTTGGCTGAAAATTGTAATATTTTAAAACTGATTTACTTACTTTAGCTTGAAAGAATTAAACTGTAGACTTTATAATATATTCATATATATTTATTGGTAAATTAATGTTTCTTTGCATGACTTGACTCAATTGTTTTTGCACACAAACAGAAAAGAAAGAGGGATTTTTCACCTGAGATGGAGAGGAGTCCAAAGAGGAGACGCCTCTCCACCCATCAGGAAGAGGAGATAAGCGAGGCTGAAACGACACCACCGAGTGCTCGCCCCGTCAAGGTTCCAGTTGTAAGTTGGCTGAAAATTGTTTTTTTTTAAACTGATTTACTTACTTTAGCTTGAAAGAACTGAATTGTAGACTTTCTAATATATTTTTATATATTTATTGGTAAATTAATGTTTCTTTGCATGGTTTGACTCAAATGTTTTTGCACACAAACAGAAAAGAAAGAGGGATTTTTCACCTGAGATGGAGAGGAGTCCAAAGAGGAGACGCCTCTCCACCCAGCAGGCAGGTGAAAAAATAAAAGGCGGGCAAAAAGAACCAAGGGGGCAAGAGGAGCCCATCAAAACTGTCCCCAAAATAGACGAGAAAGAGGCTGGTGGTTCAAATAGCAGCAACAACCCTCTCACAAAAGAGGAGCCCAAGTGTCTTGGGTAAGTATCTGAGTAGATATGCAGTACATAAACCACAGAGTAAAAGCACACAATAAATTTCTGAAAGGATTGCTGAATAAATCATATTAACTTGTTCAACTTGTTTCCATCAGATTCCCAAACATTGGACAAACCTGCTACATGAACGCAAGCCTGCAGAGCCTTTTGACACTGGAGAACTTCATGGATGATATCAACAAACAGGCAAATGTGTGGAGAGTCCACCCAGATGCCGCAGTTATGAGGTATGAGACCCAACTGAGACAGCCTTATTTTTTTCCCCTCAGGCTGAAAATCAAATGCCAAAAATGTTTGAATTTAGATTTGAAAAAAAACAAAACAAAAGTAATCTTTAACACTGTTCTCTGGTTTTCAGATATTTATCCAAGCTTAAAGAGGAGCACTCCTCCGAGGACATGCCGTTGAAATCTTTCCTGCTTTCTAAATTGAAGAGGGCCGTATCTTTTGACGCACCAGTGTTTGCAGACGACGGGCAGCAGGTAAGTTAGTCTAATCCAAGGTTTTTTCACCTCCCTCTCCTGATATTTTCCTCTCAGTGTACTGAATGTTTTTTTTTAAGTTCCTGTGAGGAACTTTTGGTTTGTGTCAATTTTGGCACCCCCTGTGGCAGATAACCAAAACAGTCTTTGCTTATTATGTCTTCACACACTTAAACAATGTCATCTGTGTTTGTTTCTGCAGGATGCGCACGAGTTCCTTTGTACACTTCTGTACCAAATCATGAGTTTGAGTCCAGAGCTGCAAAAGGCGGCTGCCACCAAGGGTACGACCTATAGCTGTCCCATCAAAGAACACTTGTCGTTCAAGATGGAGAACACAAGGACATGCAAAAGGTATGACTTCACTGAGATGTATTTGCATGTGTATGCTTGATATCATACAAGGATCACTACACTCTTAAAACACGAAAATGCTGATTTGCAAATATTCATTAGATCATCACATGGAACTGAAATGCTAAGCCCTTAGAGGTGGGTTTGTCACAAACTTGTGCAGCTTTACTTAAACTGGATTGTCCTTTTTATATGCAGATGCGGAGCAGAATCAAAGAAACAGGAGGAACGCATGAACTTGTCTCTCGACGTGACACCTGGAGGAGGAACAGTAGAAGACATGCTCCAGAATTATCTTCAGGTAACCACACCTCTCTACAAAAAACCACACAAAAAGATGCAGGACAATGTGATTTGATGTTAAAATACCACCATATTTGAATCCCCTCACAACTGTTTATGTCAGTGTGTATTTAGTTGTTAATCCAGAACAAATTAAAACCATGTTGGTCTTTTGGTGTTTTACAGGAAACTGAGCTGGAGTATCGGTGTGAATGCGGAGGAATTGTGTCGGGCCAGCGCTTGTCTTTTAAAACTCTACCAAGGTAAGTAACATCTTCGCCAACACAAATAAGCAGACACCTGATTTATACTTCAAAGTAATACACATCTACAACAAAAACTCTTACATCTGTCATTTGTCTTATTTCAGAGCGCTGATCCTGCACCTGAACCGTGTCAGGTACACACCAGACTACTGGCTGCAGAAAGTGACTGATCCGGTAGATATCTCCAGGGACCTCGTTATTTGTTCTGAAGAGGTAAGTAGACACTAAATGATGTCATTTGATAAAAACAAGAAAAAAAAGATTATCTCTAATAGACATAATGTGTGAACTGTGGGCACTAACTCTATTTACTCTTTTTACTCTCTCAGGATGGTCAATGCTACAGCCTTGTCAGCACAATTAAACATCTGGGCACACAAGCAGGATCAGGTAAGATAATCAGCTTCCCTCTGATCATATTAAATTTTACACACACAAAAATGTCACAGTTAAAAAAAAAGCTTACAATTATGTTCTAATGCATTACTTATGTGAACATTATGAATTATATGATCGTATGTGGTTACAGACACAGCCCAGTCTTTTAACATTATTACTCTTTCATCTATTAGGACACTACATCTCAGAGGGAATGGATTTGGATGTGCCGGTAACTGACCCGTCGGATCGTTGGTTCACTTATGACGACAAAATGGTCACGGAAACCAGCGGTGCCGACGTATGTGAGAAGGGACGGCGAGATGCCTACATCCTAGTCTACAAAAGACAGGTAAGTACATGGCCCCATCACACTGAGGAAAATTGTGATGTAGAAAAAGACATCGATGATCTCATCATCAATGTCCAATCATTATTGATCAGAGTAGGCAAGAGGACTCCTATTCATTTATCTTTTTACCATTTATTTGGTTCAAGATATGGTCAAGTACAGCTTCCTGAAAACAACTTCCTTTATAGTATTTACATTAACTAACTACATTTGTTTTATTCACAGGATTAAGGGGCAGGTAGTCCAAAGAAACTCCCCATTGAAGCAAGAGGCCTCAGGTAGGTATGGAAGGGTAAGGAAAGGTAGGTATAAAGGCAAGGGCCAAGGAGAAGGACGTCCAATGGTGCAGGAGCAGGTAAGCCCTGACCCACTGGAGGATGGGTTTTTACCCCAGAAAGCCTGGTTCCTTCCAAGGTTTCTTCCTCCGAGAGGGAGTTTTTCCTTTCCACAGTTGCCCCAAAACAAAAGTCAGATTATTATTAGATTATTAGCAGTGACTCATTTAAATTGGACTCAATCCATGATTCAGATTTATGAACAAGCCATCCAGATTAGAGTTTGGAAGCTTGTGGCTTACTCTCTGGGTAAGTAAACTGAAAACAAACTCACATTAGGAACCACTGCACTATTGAGTATTTAATTAGAAGTGAGAAAAATAAAAAAGAGAATTATTTTCAGTAAATTTTTTCAGGTTGGTAATTGCATTCTTTGCTTATCATCAACAGCAGGTGTTCCAGGATGGATAAAGGACCTCTTGTCTCACATACTTGCAGTGAACAGTGCATGAAGTTGTGTCTGCGTGGGTTTACTCAGGGTGCTCCGGTTGCCTCCCACATCTCAACGACCCCTTACAATGAAAATTGTTTTAAAACTGGCCTAACTACAAAATAAAAATCAATCAAATATAAATTTCTTCCTTACAATGGTTTTCTCTCGTTATAAATAATTAATTATTGTTACACTGGTTTAAGCATCCTTACTTGGCTATCTAGCATACTGCAGTCCTGCATTTTTATCTAAAACCTGCAAAACCATCATGTTGGCAATAATACAACCCGTTTGAGTTATTTGCAGTAGGGACCTCCCTAACTTAAAGACCTTGACAGATAGGACCTCTTGTCTCATACTTTGTGTTGTTTGCTCAGGACGTCCAGAAGTTTGTGTCCCAACCCCTTAAATAAATCAATAACGCCAAACTACTAAATTAAAAAAAGGCCAAACTGTAAAATAAAAATTAATCAAATATAAATTTCTTCTTAACAATGGTTTTCTCTCTTTATCGTTAGTTATTGTTAAACTGGTTTAAGTGTTCATGTTTCTGGGAAGTGAAGTTTTAACAAGGTCTCATATATACGCTGATGAACAGCTCCGTTGACAAATGGCTATCTAGCATATTGCAGTCCTGCATTTTGAATCCAAAACCTGCAAAACCATCATGCGGGCAATAAAACAACTTGGAAGTGAAATGTCACTTCTCCAGATATCAGTCCGAACCTCCATACTTTAGATTGAGCCAGAACCTGAACCAGCAATTCTCCAGTTCTCGAGTAAAGACTTTACAGACTGAGCTATGCTGCAGGCATGATACCCAGGACCATAATTCTGGTCAGGTGTTTGGCTCCATCCCAGGCCATCCTGTCTACACGAACCACTTACTGTATAGGCTATCTCAGTTAGCTCTCACTGGGCTGTTACACACCCATTACGGGGCCATTAACATCACACTAGAGCAACTGTGAGTCATTAATTAGCTGCAGACTACAGGATGTATTCCCTTTTATTTGCTATTACTAGTTTTGACTGTTTGAAATACAGTCTTCAGTGTTATATAATCGCTCTTTTGCACTCGTTATGATTAATTCATTTATAATTCTTTACTGTGTAGCCCATGAACCACACTGTAGCATACCCACTGAGTGAGCCATGCTGGGTATGTGTAATGTGACTTATTTGTGGCTGCGTCTTTGGCAAGGGCCTCCCTCTGCCAAGTTCTTTCCCTCTCTGCTCCACCTCTCCTTTTCTGTTTTTCTAGTTCACCAGCTGACTATGCTGTCTTACACTGTTGAGAAGTAGTGAGTGAGCAAACAGCTGCTATGGGAGGCTATAACATTACAGTCGGGACACACTGGCAACTGGTGGGGTACGATAAACCAACTGTGAGAGTCACACTGGCATATGACAGAGCAGCAGAAAGAATGAGTGAGCAGCCCTTCTGAATGCACTGACTGCTCGCGGCAGGCCAAATAGACTCTTAGACCGCTAGGAAATGTCCCAGTGCGCCTGAAGTACAAACCCCAATTCCAATGAAGTTGGGACATTGTGTAAAACATGAATAAAAACACCATACGATCATCTGCAAATCCCTTTCCTACAATATTCAATTGAAACATGTGTTGCAGCATCAAATTCAAAATAAGTGAATATTTACAAAAACAAAACAAAACAATAAAGTTTATATATATTTATATAAATTTGGATTTGCAAATCATTGTATTCTGTTTTTATGCATTTTTTACATAACATACCAGCTTCATTGGATTTGGAGGTTTAACAATCTGCTTTCAAAGAGCCAGTTTCCATAACCGAGGATCAGACCGCCAAGGTTCCCTCCTTGCTCTGCCGCCCAATCCCTTACTGTCATATTTACCGGTCGATCTACATGCCGATCCTCACCTATGATCATGAATTTTGGGTAATAACTGAAAGAACAAGATTGTGGATACAAGCGCCCATTTCCTTCGCGGGGTGGCCGGGCTCAGCCTTAGAGATAGGATAAGGAGCTCGGACACTCAGGAGGTGCTCAGAGTAGAACCTCTGCCCCTCCAGGGATTATATCTCCCCCCCAGATGAGCTGGTGGAAGTGGCTGGGGTGAGGGCCGTCTGGGCTTCCCTCCTGAAGCTGCTGCCCCCTCAACCCAGACCCGGATAAGGGGAAGAAAACGACGACGACAATCCACTTTCCGCTGCGAAGATGCATGCAGACTAATGTCAACTAAACACTGCCTGTTTCTGCTGTTTGTATTCATCTGGTGAAAAGTGGGCGGCTTTTAGAGTGAAGTAGTAGCAGGGATTTGGTTATAAATGTCTTTAAGATTTGCCAGCAGGAGACTTTTCAATCATATGGACCGATGTGAGCAGCCTCCTTGAGATTCGAGTCCAAGAATTTCAGGCCCCTCAACGCGGCAGCTAGTTTTTGCTGTGAAATGTGCTGAGCATAGAAAGTGAATGTACATAATAGAAAAGAAAAACCCAAATTATGTAAATAGGAACAATTTAATTGTAAAGTTGGCTGTATTTGAACAAAAAGAGCAAAATTGAGAGCAAGAGAAGACAGACAAACTCAGTTTAAACAAGCGGAGATTAAGCAGAGTAACTGTCTGAAGCACTATTTCCCAAACAGTCATTCCAGGATGTGATTTTGTGAATTAAAAAAGTGGAAGAATGTATGCACGTTGATTTGAAATGTCAGCAGCATTTTGAAACGGAGCTGGCCTCGTGTGGACACGGCCTAAAATAAAGTTACTATAAATGATGAAGAGGAAAGGAAACAGGAAAGGATGCACATATTTGCAGTCTCCGTGTCAGCCACAATGAAAGTCAAACAAATATGAGCAAATTAAGTTTGTTTTGCCGGCTTGTGGGTTTCTCCGTCTTTGTGAGAAGGTGGTAAAAAGGCTGACAAGCCAGTGGCATGAATGTAAAATCTGAAGACTCTTGTATGATCAGTGTTGCTTCAGTTATCATCCTCTCTGAAATATATTACTATATGCTGATAAAGGTCAGGGGCTGTATAATTTATATAGGATCTTTAAGTGTACAGTATATATGCATCTGTATCTACATTTGTTCGTTTTTACATATACAAAGTCAGCATGAATCCGTCTCAGATGAGTCGTTCTCTCACATTTACGCAAAAAATATATATAAAATAAACTGACCATGGATGCAGGGGTGCTACGAGAAGTTCCAGTGGGTTTCGATGGTTGTAAGTCCTCACAATGTTTAACACTGAGTGAACAAACAAAAGGTTTCACCACTTTCCATCTAGTGCATAAGGTCTCACAGTGGGGAGGTAACATGTTGAGGAGAATCCTGAACCAAGTCCACAGCAGGAGTAACACCTTGTAAATTAGGGAGTCATAGATCCAGACACAAGGGAGGGTTTATGAGTAAGAAGAAGGGCTCAGAGATCAGTTGGTGGTTCATTTAGGTCTTAAACAGTTGTGCCATTTAATTCATTAAACGCTTTCATTTCCTCAAATCTTCCCTCGGTGCCGCCCTCGTCGTCCTCACAGCTATAGAGCCACGTTAAACTCCGTCACTAGAAAGTCCACGTAGTCCCTCTCTTTGGTCTTGAAGGCCTCAGCGATGATGCGCGCGGCGTCCCTGTGCTCGCGGCCCCTCATGGAAATCCCGTTTACCTCCAGGATCACCTGGCCCACCTTCAGCTGGCCACAGTTATGAGCTGAGCCACCTCTCTGGAGAAAGAGACAAAGACAGATGGAGACAAATGAAAATGAGAACCAAACAAGACTAAATTAACTTCACCTCAAGATGTTTGTCAGAAAGACTGTTTGGTATACTCAAGTAAAGTTTGTGTTTATCACTATGATTAAATTAAACAGTAACATGAACATACTGTATCTCATTCTGAAGATAGTTAATAAGCTATCACTTGCAGAGGATCTGAGAGCTTCCCAAAGTTACCAAGGGTCACTGAGAATTACCGAGCACGGTGTTTCACAGCAGCTGTGGTCAGATTTACAGCACTGGGCGTGCCAGCAACTCAGATGTAGTTTGTTGTGCTGATGAAGCCAGCGATTGTAAACATCTGAAGGAGTTTTATAGGTAAATCAGGACAGATTTGAATGGGCTAAAAACTCATTTGGTTTCCAAGAGATGTAGTTTTTTTGAGAACAGAGAATAATTCACTTTCTGATTTGGCTCAATGCCTCTTTACCCTTATTTCTTTATTTATAACTCTTCTTTAAAACTCAATTTCTGTTTACAGTTCAACAGGAAAATATAGTAATTTGTTTGGTGATAGAAGGTTAAGGACTGAAGCATAGGAGGTTCGACTGAAAGAGAATTTTGGTACAGCTATAAAAACAGAAATGTGAACGACTTCATTTTGGGACCATGATTGTAACTCAAAATGAAAAGAAAATTAACTATTTGACTATTTGGGTGAACTGAAATCTGAG